CACACACACACACACACACACACACACACACACACACACACACACACACACTGGTTCACATGTTTGCAGTACAAAGCCTTCTGCTTATCTCTCTGTACTTTGTCCCAGTCCTCATTGTTCATTCTAGACAAGGTTCCAGTCACCATAGTAGTGCATGTGTGTATATATATATACCGGTATATATATATATATATATATATATATATATATATACACACTCACACTCCTACTACTACTGATATTTCCTCATATTGCAGCACAGGGCTGACAAAATTTAGGAAAATTAGTCCTTACAGGGAAACAGCTTCTGTTTCTTTTCATCTATTTTTTCGTGAAGATGAGTTTTGAAATCAAGATAGCGGTTGTGGCATTAGAAATAGTGGCTCTGATTAACTGCAGGAGGAGCTACTTTAAGCCTCATTGAATCTGCCAATTTAGCCACTCCTTTAGTTGTGTTTAGGGCCGGACGATAAACCAAAGATTTACAGATACAGAAATTTACGACAATAACCAATGTTATTTCAAAAAGTAATATGTTATATCAAAAAAATAAGTAAATAAAAGTTGGTTTTGGATGTGTGTAGGGAGGCTATGGTCTCATGTCCCTTTAAGACGCTGTCCTACATCAGAGACGTGACTCCCGCCCATCCAGTCTGTAACAAAGAGGGAAAGACAGGTGAGGAGATGGAGGACGGTTCAAAAGTTGGAGCGGCTGAAGTAGACGAAGTTAATCTGGGAAGAGGTGAGCAGCTTGTGGAGTAGTTATCGTCCATTTATTGTTATCAGGGTGAACTGATCAATATATGATGATATTGATTTGAGGCCATATCGCCCAGCCTATCACCCTACTGGACTTTTGACTTATACATGTAAAACCTCGTCCGACTGAGATTGCACTACGACTATGTTTACACCTGCCTGGCTATTTTCATAAACGGATATCTCACCCTCTCCGTTCACAAAAAAACTGCGTGCACACCAATATGTTTTCAGAAAAGTTCTTGTTGACACAAACCCTTGTATATCTGCTTTCAAGAGCATGCCAAACCTGTAGGTGGCAGTGTAGAGAGAAGCTCAAGCCCACGTTAGCCAATCAGAATCCCACATGCAGCAACAACAACAACATCACTTTCTTCTTTCCTGCACACAATCTGCCGTCAGCTACCCAAATCTCCATTTTCCTCTGTTTACATGCAAATGGAATTTTCCAAAATCTCCACTCTGGCCGGAGTTTTTAAAAAGTATCATTTTCAGGGGCGAATTCTCCGTCTGTGTCCAAACAAATGGTGTCAACGATGGTTAATGTCTTGTTTTTAAAAAAATAACTGGCTACGTATAAACGAGGCCTAAGTCGAATCTCTTAGAGTTGGATAATGCAATTAGGAGTCGGTTTCACTTGCTTGTACACACGCAAATCAGACCCAAACTAGTCAATGGAGAGACTAGTATATTTCAAAGTCATTAGTGTAGTCCTGGCCGACAAGTTTAAAGGTAGGAAAAAACTCAAAAACCAGCCATAATCGTACACGGTCTATGTAAATGCTCACTTACTTGAGATTCCTCTTCGCTGTGGTTGCATCAATCAACTGAATGCAGATTTCTTTTTCGCAGCGAGTCAGCTTTACCCAAGGGTTCTGTAACCTTTTGACCATGAGAAACACACCACTTAAAAAAAAATCAAATCTATTAAACATTCTTTTTTTTTTAACCCTTTTTGATTCAAGTAGAGACACGACACTTCAAAAACACTCATTTTCCCTCTTCTTCTTCTTCGCTCCGCTCTTGATGAAAAGATCAAAAGCAGACGAGGAAAGGTCAGATCCAGGTTCACGGATAACATGTATTCATTAAAAAAAAATGACTTTTCATGTGAATATATAAGAATCTTTTGCCTACATTGATAACCGGTATTGACAGGATGCTGTTTGTGCCGGTTCTGTTCAAATCCCAAAAGCCCGGGGTGCGTGACCTCGGTTATGAGACGGTTTGAAACATTCATGTGAGGTTTTCAATAGCTCTGAAATGTTTCATTTACTGGTTTGTAGTGCAAAGTTTCTTCATTATTGTCCACAGAAGACAAAAAGCAGCCTGTTTTTTACTCTTAAAGGCTGAAATCGATACGTTCACACCAGCTCCCTCTTTTACACCTTTGAGGATTCAAGTTACCGATTCCCTCTATTGCTTATATCAATAAGTTTGTCGACCTTACTTATCAACATTCGTCCCTGCTCTTCCCTCCTTGTGTCCTGCGCTCTCAGACGGTTCATTTTGAATTCAAATCAAGGCACGATCTCTAAATGTCAAAGTTGAATTTGAATTTCCTTTTTTTCGAGCAACTTTGAGAACTTTAAAGCAACTTTTTTTTTTTTTCCGAGGCGAAGGAACAAAGAGCACTTCTTATTACTTTAATTTCACAGCGGACTAAAAAACAGCTTGGGCACATTTTTCTTCATTTCTGCGGCAAACACCTGAGCTACTGTCTCCGTTCGGTGCGGCTCAGACGGGTCATGCTGAATACTAAACAGGCTTAATCTATGGAGCTGTCAGGGTGGGGAAGGTGGCAGCAACTGGCCTGAAAGAGAAGCAAATTTATGTGACTCTCACACGCTCTCACAGCTCGCAGTGCATCTGTCTGTTACCGCACCATCAGGCACACGATACTTTGTCACCTGCAAGCTGGCATGATACACAGGTGGCAGTGAGGCAAGGGGACATGGTAATCGCTCTTCCTGCTCCCTTGGTCATAGGTTAAGACAAACTGCAGCTGCACTGAGGTGGATCCTAGCCAGGGAATATGAATTTTAAGCAAACTACAAACAATGGCGCAGATTGGGGAAAGAAAGGGACTTGTGTGTTTCTCTCTCAGATGTGATCTAATTTCAACTTCAAGTCTGAATGTGACTCCGAAACCCAAACATTTTCTGTTCTCTCTCTGTCAGCTGCGGCTCCCTGGGGGTTTCTTCTCTTGATCGCAGACAGAAGTGGGTCTTGGCGCACCTTCATTAGAAATGCATATTATGCGCAAGGTAAGACTTTGAATAAATAAGCACGTTGTGCAACATTCAATATCCAGAAGTTGCTTTGCCTCCTGTGTCACTGCAGAATTTCTAGGTGGGGGGTCTACGATACAAGAACTTTATAGATCCCTACAGGGAACTTTGCTGCATTTTCAAAGTGTTTTGGTTTTCTTTCATGTGTAGTCGTACAAAAGAAAGTTATAGTTTTGACCATTTATATATCAGCAGGCTTTCTTTTGTGCAGGAACAGTTCGTACTTAACAAAAGCAGGAGGAATGAGATTCACCCTGATGGCAAAAGTTTGCAAGAAAGTGCAGACAACAGTCTGTTCCAGGTCAGGAACCTCAATAAATTGAAATAAATTGAATTGAGACTGAGGCTCACGAGAAAGAAATGAACATTGTGATCTTGTTTTCAGATTGAATATCTTTTTTTTTCTTCCAAAATTACAATTTTTTGAATTTTCCTCAGTTCAACCAACCGTTAACAATGCAACTGAGACTCTTTAGAAAACAAATGAACACCAAGATGATATTTTGCCTAATTGAAGACAAAGACATTGAAGAAATATCAAATGCAAATTGTTTCTCTTTAGGATTCCTATCAGCATAGTAAGTCGAGTAAGCCACAGTGTGACTGACCATTAACAGTAAAACTTAATCTTGTTAGAAACTGAAAAATATCAGGATGCTGTATTTGAAAAAAAAAAGCACTAAAATGATGACAGCAGATCCTGAGAGTACTGGTTTAAATGAAGCAGACCTCTGTATAATTCACCATTTACAGTGAAACTGAGACTCTTCAGGCACAGAAAGAACATCATGATGTTGTTTTTGGCTAACTTGAAAAATATTCAATGACAGAAAATGGTTTCTATTTGGTTCATAGCACAAACAGAGACCGAGTGATTTGGATTTGTCGTTACAGTGAAACTGGGACTCAGTAAAATGAGACAAAAACTATCTTGTTTATAGTTCAAAACCCACATGCTTCAAGAAAATCACAATAGTTCATTCTTAGTGTTCTGCAGGAGTGAACTGTTGCAAGCCTGAGAAAAGCCCTGTGCAACCAACATTAACAGTGAAACTGAGACTCTCTAGAAAACAAATGTATATCAGGATATTTTTGGCTAACTCTGGACCCATGTAGTTAGAAAAAAATGCAAAAGAAGTGGTTTCTCTTTTGTGTTTGTACAACTGTAGCAAGTCTGAAAAAAGCCTCTGTGTGACCCGCTTTTTACGGTGAAACTAAGAGTTACTAAAAACTGACATCTAAAATACATCATGATGTCATTTTGGTAAACACTGGCCGCTAAGATTTATTTGGTTTCTCTTTTGGATTCATGGCACTATTAAGCCTGGGGGAACTCTTTTTACCACCAGTAATCTAAGTGAAGCTTCTGTTTATCTTAACATTTACAGTGAAACTGAGACTCACAAGAAACTATAAATGGATTCTGCTTTAGGGGATGTAAGAAAGAATAAATGACTTATCTACAGATGCTAATTCTAGATGCTAACTCCTACTACTGACATGTAATGGACCACAAACATGTGACGTGTTTTTGGTGATATCTGAGAAATCCTGAATTGTGTTCTGAATTGAAATGAGGAAAAGGAAGCACTGAATCAGCTTCCTACCCATGATCATCTCACAGTGTGTTTATCCAGAGACAATTTGGAGATTTTTTTTCAGTTTAGGGGGGCAGTGAGTAAAAAAGCATGTTGTGTTGCTAAGCAATTCAAATGACAGTAATTGAAACTGGCATTTTGGAGATAGCTGTAATCCCAAACTGAATGAGGATCAGAGGGCACATTGTAGTGTTTTTTCATGTGACTGGCATGTTAAGCAGTGGTGTCACAATTTAAAACCCCATGGCTTTAATTTTTTTAACAGTCAAACCTTGATTTCATCCCACTATAAAGAGCAGTTAAAAATGTCATTTGGAGTGGTATAGAGTGAGGTTTGGATTCTGCACAGGACATGGATTTACACATGCTGGAGTGCCGACGATTTCGTCCAGTCAGGATCATGTCCTGGAAGAGGTCACGAGCCAGCACTCACAGCAAACAGACTGAGCGCCATCTGTCCGCCCATGAAGGCCAGGGTGTGAACGAAATGAACTCGCATGTGAGTCGAATTCTGCGGTCATGTCTTAAAGGCAAAGGTTGTCATACTCTGTTGAAATTGGCACAGCTGAACGCAGCCCTGGACTACAAATCCCTTATCAATTGCCAGATAAGCCTGGGCAATCAAATGGGCCAGCACTGGCAGTTTTGATGGAAAAAAATTAACCCATAGGGTGCAGCTTGAGTGAAATGGTCGGATTTGAGGATACCTACAAAGCAGTAGCCGTGGTGCCCTTTCGAGCGCTGTCCTAAGAGGTCAGGAAGAGTCCGAAGTCTAGAACTCAAGCATGGAGTATAAATTAAAATGGATGGGAGGCAAAAAGGTTGAGGACTCATTCATAATCTCTTTACATACTAGAGTAAATCCACAGGGTTGTCACAGCTCTCATAATCCATGCATACTTTACATTGACATAGATAGGAGGTAATACATTCGCTCAAACTGGAAATGAATGCAGGAAACAGACGGATGGCTCTGTTGGGACCACATGCCTATCTAATGTAGATCCTTAAGAGATCAGCAATAAAACACTCCAGGCTGATGCTAATTTCTTTAGATACAACATTAATTATTCAACCAGTGATAACCGGTATGGTGCAGTAATGAGGGAGAGTGCCCTGAGTAAGCCTAAGTAAAGCCTAAGTAAAGCCTCTGTAAAACTACATTTACAGTGAAGCTGAAACTCATTATGACTAATAAACATCAAGATGTTACAATGAAGCTTCTGTGTGATTTAACTATTTACAGTAAAAGTAAGACTCAGCATAGGGGAGTGAACAAAAGAAAGAAAACCCATAATCTGACTGTGAATCTGGGTCTTATTTACAGTGAATCTGACACTCCATAGACACAGATGAGCATCATGATGATGTCTTCAGCATTGAAAACCCATATATCCTAAGCAAATCCCAAGAATGATGGGGTTCTGGTTCTTGGGTAGGTGGATAGCACTGCAACAAGTCTGAGAAAAGCTTCTAACTTACTATTTACAGTGAAACTGAGACTCCAGAAAGTGATAAACACCCTGGTGTTGGTGTTAGTCTACTTAAGAGCCACATAATATATAAATTGGTTTCTCTTTAGGGTTTCTTGGCACTCTAGTTAGCTTGGATAAGCCTCTGTGTGCTATAAGATTTACAGTGAAACTGGAACTCCATAGAGACTAATGCTGCATTTGAGTTACCTCCGAAGTCAGAAGTCCGAGCTAAAAATGACCTCACAGTAACCGTTTGTAAAAAGCAAAATCGGAGGCGGAAACAAGAATACAAGGCAAGCGCTAAAATAACTTTCGTGGATGTAGCCATCTTGTTTCAGGCTTCCCATTTTCTGTTTTTCGGACTTGGTAACTGAAACGCTGGGAATTCAGATGTCCGAGCTGAAAATGACGTCACAGTTACCGTTCGTAAAAAGCAAAATCGGAGGCGGAAACAAGATGGCTACGTCTACGTAAGTTATTTTAGCGCTTGCCTTGTCCGAATATAAGGCAAGCACTAAAATAACTTTTGTGGATGTAGCCATCTTGTTTCAGGCTTCTGATTTTGCTTTTTTCCGACTTGGTAACTGAAACGCTGGGAATTCAGATGCCGGAGCTGAAAATGACGTCACACCCAACTTCCGCGGTAACTTGAATGCAGCATCTAGAGCAGGTTCTAGATACATTAGAAAGATCTATATAGATCATTCTAAACAGATTAACCCTAACCTTAAAATCGGATTTACAGCTGGGGTCTTCAAAGCACGCACCACTTAATACTTCCTACAGCTATGAATGTCATCTTCAGAAATGCCCATTTTTACATCCATAATCAATCACAATAGAGAGGCAGTGGTCTGGACATGCAGATTATGGAGAATATTTCCCTTTTTACACATTGTCAGATCCAAGGAACCATCTTCAGACTGTTTGCAAACCATTTCAAGTATCATTTCATGAAAGGAGAAGAAATTCAAGACAACCATCTTATACAAACTGAACCACACGGATCTCCAAACAATCACAGCTGAGATAACCGAGCCGCAGCTGTTACTGCAGAATCGATGTATTCTGCATATGCTGTGTTGTTTTAGGCATTAAAATGAACCTTTGTGTCTTCTGAGGGCTTCGCTAAAATGAATGACAAAAAGCTGTGACTGATAATTGCTGTATGTCGTGTGCCGCGGGGTTGAACGTGGCGAATCAAACAGGCTCTGCTGCACGGGGAGGAAATTTGTTGTGTGCGAACCCCTCTGCTGTTTGACATGGGCATGGTATCGTATCGACTGTCAGTTTGAGTGACAGCATGGGATGATCTCATGTTTGCAGAACATGTCTGACTGCAGCGGTAAATCCGGAGAGACTCCACATGTGAGCTGCAGGGCTGCTGTTAGAGCCAATAGAAGAAGCAGGTCCAGTCAATCAAATGCAAACTATCACAGGGTTCCCTCTAGACCTCTACTCACGCAGGCTTTGCTACTTGATTGGATCAATTAAGCAAACATACAGTTCTTCTTGCTGGAAAGCAAAGCCAGGAGGCACATTAATATCTTATGAGACAGCAATATATGCCACACGGATGGCACCTCAGAGGCATGGATAAAACCGCTCGTAAAACCAAGTGCCTGTTTAATGAGACTTACATGGGAAGCCTGCTGTAGTGAAACCAGGGGTTTTACGAAACTTTTTTTATTCATAAAACAGTTTTCCCACATAGATTTTTCGAAGGTGGACTGCCTTGGTTTATAGGCTGCAATATATTTTTCAACCAATTACTTTTTTTATGTAGCAACCAGGAGAAAAACACGGACCGTGACAGATTAGTGAGTGTAGAAGCTCTGCTCCCTCACCTGTCAAGAGCGAGGTCAACACCCACATTAGTTCAACATTAGTAGGAATAAAGAGGAGGGTCACTCCTGGTAACCTTTTGGTGGTTAACCCTTTATTTTCAGGTGTATTCATGTATGTGTACTGCATAATATTTGGAAAAAGTTTCTTGCTATGAATAAAACCGAAAACTGATTTTATGACAATATGATTTGATATGATGCAATAAAAGACGATTTGACATGATATGATACAATACATGTTTTGCTGCAATACGATACAAGACATTTTGCTACGATATGATACAATTTGATGTTTGATTAGATATGATACAATACAAGACGATTCGATACGATATGATAAAGTATAAGACGATATGATATATGATACAATTCATGATAATTCAATACGATATGATACAAGAAGATTTAATACGATATGATTTGATACAAGATGATTAGCTACGATACGATACAAGACAATTTGCTACGATATGATACAATTCAAGACGATTTGATACGATATGACACAATTAAAGATGATTCGATACGATATGATTTGATACGATACAATACAAGATGATTTGCTACGATGTGATACAATTCAAGACGATTTGATACAATACGATCCAATACGATACAATACAAGACGATTTGCTACGATACAACACAAGATGATTTGCTACAATACGATATGATACAAAACGATTCAAGATGATCCAATACGATACAGGACAATTTGCTATAATATGATACAATACAAGACGATTCAATACGATATGATACAATTCAAGACGATTTGCTACAATACGATATGATACAAAACGATACACGATGATCCGATCTGATATGATATGATACAATATTTGTCCTGGACTCAAGTGTTTTACATGATCAGCCGCATTCATAATACTACCAATAAAACAACAAAAATAAATAATATGACGTAAGAAAACAACAATAACTCACATGCAAACAGAGAACAAGTACCAAGGCCATCACCGCAAACAAACATCACATATAACACAGGAGGCCAGCATGAGTCATTGTTTTATTTATTTTAATTATTACTTTAAGTGGAGTTTCTTAAGGTAGTTGTCAGTGGTGAGAATATTAACAACAGGGATGCCCGTCAGCTTGGCCTCCTTTTTGCAAAACCAGACAGAAACTGGGCTCTTAACTGCTACAGGAGGAGACAGCTCCACCACTTTATTAGCTCATTTCTACAAAGATCAGCTAAAGCACTCTTCCTGATGTGAATTTAGAAATTCTCCCTCTTGCTCTGCTGTTAGAAAGCCCATTTTTCTGCACAAACTGTCTGCACAACCTTGTATTTTGCCTGTTGCTCATGGATTAAATATTCCTTTAGAAAAAAAAAGTGATTTTGACACAAGAGGAAACCTTTCTGGGCCAAAGTTGCATCTAAGGACGATCAAGAACTGAACCTCACTTCTTTTGGTTAGACCTTTTTTTTTTTTGACAGTATCACAAATGAGCATTATGTGCAGAACTACTCAACTGACATTAAAGCCCCTCTTGATTAAGACCGCTATCTCCTCATTTGTGATCTCAACAATCCTGAAAGCTCTTCTAATGCTAATCACTCCTGTTTGTTCATTGTCTCCAGGTCCCTGAGCTCCGGCGTAAATGGCAGCCCATCTTGAACAGCATGACTCATCATCGCCATACCATAATGAGTGCATGTCTCGTGTGTCTTTTGTGTGACACTCGCCTCCCACGGAGCTAGCTCAGATGGCATATATACAGCTCGGCCCCCTGAGCTCGTGCACCTGTGTCATCAGCACCCTGTGGACCGGGCTGCTTTTCACCTCTTTCTAACAGGTACTCGGATCATTACCACTTGTGACACCTCATCCCTTGGCTCCTCTACCTGCATCTTCTAAAGGACAAGAGGAGAAGAAGAGCCTGGTGGTGGCAGTCTGAAGTGTTAATCCATCATTTTCAGACAGGGTGCATTTTTCCTTTGACGCCAGGCTGAGGATTTGAAGCTCAAATGCTGCTATGATATTATGCTGTTATATTACCTTGATGCTAACGTTAGCTACTGTCTGCTTGTTGATTGGATTACTTCATGGAAATGCAATTAGACCGAGACGCTAAGGCAGAAGAACTACTGCGTCTGCAGTGCAAAATGATTAATATGGTGATTATTACTTCAAGGAAATGTGAAAGAAATGATCAAGCGGCTGCTGGAAGAGAGTAGGTGAGTTGTGTTTAGTCTCTTTGCTAAAGAAATTAGGCAAAGTTAGGACCCCATATGTCCTGTTGATGAAGTTAGGTGCTGTTCTGAGCATTATTTGTGTCTATAGAGTGGCGTTTTAGTTGAGGTT